GCGAAGACGATGTCGATCTAACATAGTACAAATGACTCATTGAATCACTTTGATACCTTTGTCACACAAGGTCTGACTTAGCATACATTATAGGTATGGTAAGTAGATTCACGCATAAGCCAGAGGTATCACACCTAGCAGCGACGGAGAGGATACTAAGGTATCTAAAAGCAACTTTTGACAACAGTTTTTTATTTCATGCAGTTGATGAAGGAAAAGAATGCAAGTTAGTAGGATACACTGACTCAAGCTGTTGTAGTGAAATTGAGGATGGAAAATCCACATCTAGCTATGTGTTTATGCTAGGTGGTGCACCAGTTGCTTCAAGTTTGATAAAGGAGCCAGTAGTGGCATTGTCGTTGTGCAAAAGCAAAGTATATAGTTGCTTCTCTCTGTGCATTTCAAGCAAAGTGGATGGTGAATATGGTCAAAGAGATTACAACGAAGGGTCATAGAGCAATAACCGTGAAGATCGGCATCATGTCAGCTATCAACCTGAAGAAGAATATGATAACACATGAGCAAAACACACACATATAAATGAGGTTCAATTATCTTCGAGAGCAGGTAGCAGAAAGGAAGATGAACTTGGAATACTGCAGAACTGAGAATCAGATTGCAGATACAATGACGAAAGGAGTACAAGTCAGAGTGCTCAAGAAACTAAGGTCTGTGATGAATATAGATAGCTTAGACACAATGAATTAGGTGGTGTATTGAGATTGTAATTCCTTGTGTTGAAGCAAGTGTAGCTCGATAGATATAAGGATGTGTCGAAATTAGCCTAATGTGCGTGTTTCAAGTTGTGTTAGATGTGGAAGTGTCAAAGCAGGTTGCTTGACACATGATTTTGACTTAGACCAAAATATCAGTTTTGGGCTTTTATAATATTGGGATTTACCATATGGATCAAAGTAACTCAATTATAAATATAATGAGTAAACCCTATTTTGAGTAAGAAGAATATAAAATAATATTGTAACATGCAAAAGAAAGTGCAATTGCATAGTTGAATAATATTTTCTCAGTTTGAGAGCAAAGAGTAACTCTGCAGAAACCATCTTCTTCTTCCCCTATTTTGTCAAACCCTAATCTTCATCCTTATACAATTTTCTTTCTTATTCTATTAACAATTGCTGCGCATAATCATTCTTGCAATCAACGTGTGATTGATTCACTCAAGCGAAAAAGTGAAGTGCAAATGATTTCGATCGATTGATCGAATCTTGGTTCATAATTACTCAAAGTTTTGGATTAATTCCAACATTATGGAGGGTCTTGAACCATGTCATTGAAAATACAATTAGAGTTAGTGCAAAAAGCTTGCGCTTTATTGCCATATGGACGTGATAATAATATAATTGTTTTTCTACGCACTAAACAAGCTCATATGGGTTTCCAATTTTGTCATAGCTATATAGCTTCAAAGGTTTCTCTAACAATCTCAAAATCCTACTATCAAGGATGCAGGCGGACACATGGTTTATTTTTCGCTTTATAATTAGAGTGTTTTCATCATACACTACTCTCATTTTATGACAAAGAACTCATGGATGAGTGTGGCTACCACTCCTTCCTTCAAGATAAGGAGGAGAAGTCTCGTATGTTTAATAATGGATGCGAGCAAGTGACCTTATGGTGTTTTCTTGCGGTGTTGTTGCCTTGACTGAGGTAGATATAGGAACGACGATTTGATTGCCTTGGAAATACGCCTCATGCACAATATTGTTTCTTGATAAGACATGCTGCATGCTCTCTTCAATATGGTAGACCCTTCCTACAAAGAATTGTGAATTATGATACTGCGCCATATTATAAATAATGTCCAACAGGTCGTTAGGTTATTGTATTTCAAGGTTGACCTATAACAGTTGAAGGTTAAGGAACAATTCCTATTAAGGTGCAATAGGCACTAGCAAATGTCAATGCGATGGTTCACCTTGGCAGAACTGTTGCGTAGATCCAAAGAAAAAAAAACTTAAAATGCTCCAAAACCGACTATCGATGAAATATGATCTTGTTGCGAATGATTGAAAGGATATACTACTAAAACTAAATTGTTTTATGCTTGAGGAGGAGGAGTCAAAACTTTAACAACTTTAACTGTTACGCCGACAACTTGCCATTGAACATCTGATCGAGTGATTTTAGAATTTGGATGCCACCTAATAAATGTAACAATATCATTTGCATACAATACATTGTTAAATACACTCTTAGTGTTATAGTAACAATATAAATGTTCAACAACATCTATTGATCATAATTGTGAGATTATTAAAAAGGAATAGCTTAACGAGTGTCCCAAGGACATTTTTAATGGTTTAAAATGATAATTTAAAAAACATGTGTATTTAATATATTAAAAATTGACGCAATTAATTTTTTTTACAAAATAATTATTTATTTAGAATTTTTAAAAAGTGCTTCTAAATATTGGTTAGCATAGCCCTTATTAAAATTATTTAAATTTATTTATAATTAGTTTTAAAATTGATTATTTAATTGATTGTACTTTATAGACACAGTGAAACTTTGTATATTAACCGCATATTTAAATTAAGAGTCAATACACATTTTAATCCCGCCATTTAAAACGAATGTATAAAAAAAAAACGCAGATTCTATGCCTGTAAAATTTTGTCTCCCACTAATATTAAATCCATGACCTTTTGCTTGCAAAAAGACACTTCTTCTAATAGATTAACATGTCTTTGTTATCTATTTGTTTGCTTCAAATATATATATATATATATATATATATATATATATATATATATATATATATATATATATATATATATATATATATATATATATATATATATATATATATATATATATATATATATATATATATATATATATATATATATATATATATATATATATATATATATATATATATATATATATATATATATATATATATATATATATATATATATATATATATATATATATATATATATATATATATATATATATATATATATATATATATATATATATATATATATATATATATATATATAAATATAAATAAGAACATGTAATGAATAGGTTATATGTAGTGAGTATGTAATATATTTATTTATTTGTTTCAATTTAAATTATATATTTATAACATAAAAATATTAAAATATATAAAAAAAATATTTAATTAATAACATTACAAAATATTTATATTAGACTGAAATTAACTAAAATAAATAAAAAATATTAATTAACATAAAATAAAAAAAATAAAATAAAATATATATTTAAATATATTAAACTGAAATTAAATATATTAAGCTGAAATAAAATAAAATACATTAACATAACATAAAATATATTTAAAAAATATTAAACTGAAATTGAATAAAATAAATAAATAAAATATTTATTTACATATATTATTAACATATTATGAAATTAACTATATTTGTTTAATAACATATTTAAATATATGTTAATATTTAATTAACATATGTATTTAAATATTCTGAAATTAAACATATTTGTTTAATAATATATTAAATATGTGTTAATATTTAACATATTTACTTGATTAAATATATTTATTTAAATATATTATTAATATATTATAATATTAATACTAATATTTTATAATATGTTAATTATTTTGTTTTAATAGGTTAATCATTTCATTTTATTTCACCAAAAAATGTTAATATTAATTTATTATAGTTTAGTTAAATTGTTAATATTAATTTAATTTAGTTTTTTTTATTAATATTGACTTAGTTAAAATGTTAAAAAAATTAGTTTAATTAAATTTTGTTTATATTAATATTAGTTAAAACGTTAATATAAACTTAGTTTAGTTTATTAAAACGTTAATATTAATTTATAAATAAATTATTAAATTAAAGTTTAGTTTATTAAAACCTTTGTAATGTTGTAATTAAATAAAATTTAATTTATTAAAACATTTGTAATGTTGTAATTAAATAAAATTTAGTTTAGTTTATATTAAATACTAAATAAATAAACAAATCATTAACATGCACTTAAATAAATTTAGTTTAATTTATATTATATATATATTTGATATAAATTATAAACAAAAAATATTGAACCGTGTCTACAGAAGGACTGTGTCCATTTAAAAATCAAAACAAAACAATCTTTAAATGACAGAGATAAAATCTGTGTTTGTATTTTTTTACAGGATCTTTTTTTCGAATTCATTCTAAATAATAGAGGCTAAAATGTTTATTATTGCTTAAATTAAAATTTCAATTAATTATTATGTTAGGTGAATAATATATATATATATATATATATATATATATATATATATATATATATATATATATATATATATATATATATATATATATATATATATATATATATATATATATATATATATATATATATATATATATATAAAATTTTGATTATCTTTTACTTTTAATTTTAGTTGTGTATCAGTATTTTATAAATCCCCGTATATTTTATGTACAAATGTATAAACTAAGCCTTTGAATTGAGAATGACCATAATAAATTGCAATCCTAAGAGATTTATGAATGCTGCATATCTAGGGTTTCCTTTCCATTTTTTTATCCTTTCATTTTCTCTATTAATAAAATCAATTAAATATTAATTATATGTCACATGTTTTAAAATTGTATGTTATTTACACAGAAAATTATAATAATAAAAAAATAAAAGGACAAAAAAATGGAGAGGATATCAACCCGTCTAAAGTTGAATTTGAAGCTACGCCCTCGATTAATCTGAAAGAGACATTTATTAATAATTGATTTGAAAATTTTTTTTCTTAAAAAAGATAAAACTATTAAAGTATAGAAAATGAACATGTATATACAAATGAATGCATTATTTATTATAACGTGTCTCCTTATTTTATTTTTGGAATTTCAAAATTTACGTCATAATCGCTTCATTTCATTTTCCGCCCAAAACAAAATCGTCCCTTCGCGCTCGCTACTGGAGAGAAAGAAAAGACAAAACGAGCAGAAAAAATGACGGAAAACGAAGGAAAGCGTGAGAAAATGGAAAAACTGAAGAAAGGTAAAAGCATGATCGTCTTCACCGGAACTGCTGCAGTGCTCGCAATCGCCTTAAACCTCGTTATCACCGCCATCAAACACCATAAAGACAAAAATTCAAAGAAGAAAGGTACTCTCCCTCTTATCAGCTCTATTTCGTTTACTCTATATGCATTCTTGCTGCTATTGTACGAACGGGTAATAAATAAAATCGTTTCACTGAAATACTCGGTGGAAATTTGTAGATCTTGAAGGTTCTAAGGTGAAGGTTAATCTATCTGCATCTGAGATTGTTAAGTTAGCAAACCAAATCATTACTAAGTCAAATGAGGTTCACAATTCCGTTGCTTCAGTGCCTCTCGATAAGGTATAATCGATTCGTATATATATGCTGCTCCGATTTCGTTATTCTTACTGTTTATTTTCTGAATTAGATAATTTTCAATTGGAACACAGAAGCGTCTTCATTATTTTTAGTTATTTTGAAGCATGTTCTTGCTGTTTGTATTTAATTTCGGGTCGTCTTTTTCATGGACTGCTTCCTCAAGTGGATTTTGTTACTTGCATTGATAAAAACTGCAGGTTACATATGCAAATGTTATATCACCTCTTGCTGAACTTCAAGCGCAACAGTTTCCGTTGATTCAATCTTGTTTGTTACCTAAGTTGGTATCTAGCCAGGAGGATGTGCGCAAAGCAAGTGCAGAAGCAGAGCAAAGAATAGATGCGCATCTTGACACATGCAGGTCCTCTGTCATTGATTTTTTGGTTTCTTACTGTATTTGTGATTTCTGTCATTATCCATTTTTGGCCTGGAAGGAATGTCTTAATATCTAAGGGGTTAATGTAGGACAGTTTTGACAATGGCTATTTATTGCCTGCTCTCACTGGTTGCTAAGTTTGTTAGATTGTGTGGTGTTTATTTGGATTTTGAAGATCACGATTCACATGTCTTTTCACTTGATTGAGGATTAAGAAACTAATAATGTGTTATTCCATGCAAGCGGATCAGTAAACGTGAAGACATATATCTTGTCGTTAAAGCATTTGCAGTGAGGGGGGACTGGGTGAATGCTGAAACCAAAAGCTTTGTTCAAATTCTGGTAAGAACTATATAGTTGTTTGGTACGAGTCCTTTTCTTTCTTTCTTTTTTTCTTCTTCTGGAAAATCAAAGAATCTATTTGTTACAGCTTGCTTGTATGTACTATTTGTAAGTTGTATATATATTGCTAAAATGATTGTGGAGTTGCATCATATGCTAATTTACTTACTATGAAATCCCGATGTTGATTATTTCCTAATCAGTGACAGGTGAGAGATTTTGAGCGAAATGGGTTGAACCTCAGTGCAAGCAAAAGAGAAGAGTTGATGCGTCTAAGAGCTCAGATTGATGAGTTAAGCACTATTTATATCCAAAATCTCAATGATGCTAGCGCATTTCTTCCCTTCAATGAGGCGGAGCTAGCTGGATTACCTCTAGAATTTCTCAAGGTTTGATATATCCTTTTCCCTTCAATCCACTTGACCAGTGTAGTCATGTTTCTGAAAAAGTTGCTTTCCCCTTTTGCTTTGTGACTCAAGTCAACTATTGGATGCTTGCCTGTAAACTATTAACTTCAAATTTATACCTTACTATAATTCTAAATCAACTGCAGTCTATTATTTGTCGAGACATAAATTGCATATTTGAGTCCCAAATCTCTTTTAAGGACGGGTGGTTGCTTCCTCCTTGAATTGTGAATTCCTAAGTAGTATGTGGACGTGTTATGAGAATCTTTGGCTGTATATGTGATTGGGACAAAATAGTGGAAGTAGCAGGAGGGAAACCAACATCCATAGTATATTATTCATGTGTTTCAGAGTCCTATTTTAAGACGTTGATGTGACATTGATTAATCTTGTACCCTAAACTAACTGGACAATATATATTCAAATATTTTCCTATATTAAATTCTGACAAGATGACCACCTTTCCTTTCGATTGAAAACCACATCCTCCCATTCCAATTTAAAATCCCAAATATATGTGTGCACCGATATTATTCTGACTAGAATATGGCTACCCTACCTCTCCTTTTGAAAGAAAACCACATCCTCCCATTCCAATTAAAATCCCCAAATATAGGCCTCAAGTATGAATTTGTGCTAATATGGAAAGAATAGTTCAAAGGAATATGATTTTGAGTATTTGAAAAAATAAATGGGGGCAGTGTTGACTTGATATTGGGATCAAGAAAATATTTAACCGATTGGATTACCTAAGGGCATGTTTAGTGCACAGTAGAATGGGTTTCTCTCCATGTCATGAAGATTTATTAGATTATTACTGCCTCCATTCTCTTTTATAAGCAAACTTTGACTTTTAGGTCCATTGATTAAATAATATATTTGGACTATATATAGACTACATGCATCAATTATTCAATGAATTTAAAAGTCAAATTTTGCTTATAAAAGAGAATGAAGGGAGTACTTTAGATAGGTGTAATATTTATACCTGGATTGACTCGAAGCCTTCATGCATGGCTTTCTATGTAGCCTAATTACTGCTTTTGCATTTCCTTCAGTTATTAATCATTTTTGTTCTCATTTTTTGGTTATGAGATACTTATGAATAAATATTTTCTCCACAGGGTTTAGATAAATCTGAAAATGGACAGTTGAAGATCTCCCTGAGAAGCCATCACGTCACAGCTGTACTTGAATTTTGCAAGGTATGGTGAATGAGTTATCAACTAACCGTTACTTATTTATTAGTAAATGCCATATTGTGAATGTGACGTGATTAAGTTGGTTCTTGCATCACTTGTACTCCAATAATTAAACGCTGCCGATATCCAGTTGTTTCTCTAAGAAAATGCTACTGTTGCCTGTAAGGGCTTGCATTTTGAAAGGCCTGTGCGACCAATACTTTCCAAGGGAATTCAACTTGGTAGGCATAGATCAAGAAGCTGGGATGACTATCTTCACTTCGTGATTTTTTAATTAAAGTTATAATCTTTTAAGGAGAGCTGCTTCACTTTTTCGTGAGAATTTCATGTTTAGATTTTGTAAATAGTTTACAATGTCCTATTATTGTTACTTATTTAATTCCCATGTACGTTGCAAAGTTAAATGATTACTCGTGGTTCTTACTTTGCAATATGATTATTGATACATAACATACTGGTACCTTATACCACTTCTTCCATAGGCATACAAACACGTAACTATTATTCTTTTTAGGAAAGCATCCTTCCTTTCTCATTATTTTCTTAGTATATCTTTGTGCCTGTGTGTTATTTTAAAGAAACTGTACTGACAAAACCTATACTTCTATATTGATCACATAAAGGTAGGAACTACAAGACGGATGGTATCACGGGCGTATGGAAATCGATGTGGAGAAGCTAATCTTTCTATTCTAGAAAGTCTGGTAATTTTCATTATGACATTATTCATTAAGAATTTCAGTTACTATTAACTATTGTTGACATGTATTTGAGATATAAATATACAAGTTATCTTGTAATTAGACTTTGTAACAGGCCATTGACTTGCTAGCAATCTATTGTTATTGTACTAATCAGAGTTTGGGAAAAGAGAATAGTCCTAATTTAATTATGTAGTTCTATATTTTCATTAATTCTAACAACTTACCAACGATGACACAGTTAAATTTATTAGATCTGAATGAATTGATTTCAGTTTCCAATTTATATATGATTTTTTAGCATATTACAAATTACAAATGTTATCTGTAAGTTAGTATACAACATAAAATTTGAATAATTTACGCGGGGCCGTTTGAGCCTCTTTAATTTAGTTTTAGATGATTCTTGATTTTCCGTTGGTTCTGGCTGTGTTTACATTTTGCTGCCAAAATCATCTCAGAAGTTTATTTTTGTTGATATTCCATTGGCATGATTCAGGTGCAACAGCGTCATAAATATGCTCGTTTACTTGGCTATTCATGCTATGCCGAGTATGCCGTTGATGTTAGAATGGCAAAAACACCAACAAAGGTTTGTAATTTTTTTGTAAAGATGCAATAATGTTTTCCTCATTAGAGACCAAAAATTTAGTTAGATATATCGTGGTCTGTGTCTCTTTTGAATTTGTTTTGTCAATAGAAGGGGATTCCTTTTGAGCTTCTAATTTTGAAGTTTTTATTTTTTTTCTTATTTTTAAATATTTGTCTGGAAAAGAAGGAAGTAAATTAAACATCGTATGTTTTTATTTCCTCTCTTTGCCCATCTTTTCTCTTCTTCGAGGTATTTAAAGTAATATAAGCCACATATGTTGTTTCGGCCTTTCTTGTTTGCAAAATACCAGTAACCACTAATTATAAAACCAAGTGCGGTTATGAGTATTTATTCATTAAAAAAATATTGGAATGACAATGAATATGTCTTGTTGCTTTGCCATAAAGTAAGTGTTACAGATTAATTTAGTTGACCGCTTAATGTTTTCTCCTTCACTTTTTCCCTGATTCTAATCTTATTCTAGTTGTTTTTTTCTTTCCAACTTTAATCCAGGTGTTTGAGTTTCTGAATGACATATCCATACGTATAACTGACTTGGCTATGAAAGAACTTGATATTTTGAAAGATTTGAAGGTTTGCACGATTTTTGGTTTATGTTGTTTGATTTAATTTATAAATCTCTAATGAGAATTTCATTGCATTATCAGAAGAAAGAGGAAGGGGAGCTTCCATTTGGAATCGAAGACCTACTGTATTATGTAAAACGAGTTGAAGAGCAGAGTTACGATTTGGACTTTGGCGAGATCAAGCAATACTTACCAATTAGTTTAGTTCTATCAGGAGTCTTCAAAATTGTCCAAGATCTTTTTGGTAATTTTATATCCAACAAATTGTTTAAAGTTATGTTTTATTGCCTTGACAATCAGATACTGTTTATATTGGAAAGTAACTGGAATGTGATTCTTGGTAAATTATTCCAGATTAGGAATTATTAACCATTTCACTTTTCAACGTTCATTAAGTAGTTCATGAGTGAGCATTTATTGACATGATTTACTGCTTTAGTATTTAATTATTCCTGAACTAAAATATATCATCAAGAATTCCTTTTGTGATTTTGCAGTATGTTTTAATTGTATTTGGGAGAATACGCATTGATTGTCATTTTTGTTACTTTCTGGGCAGGTTTAAGGTTTGAAGAAATTATGGGAGCTGAAGTTTGGCATTGTGATGTTCGTGTATTTTCAGTATTTGACTTAAGTTCAAGTGAACTCTTGGGTTATTGCTATCTTGATTTATTCTCAAGGTTGAGCTTTTTAATTATTTGGAATTTCTTCATTAACTTGTTTGCTGGTGAAAATTAAAGTTTGGTTCACACCTCATCTTATTTACTTTTACAGGGAGGGAAAATATGGTCACAGTTGTGTGGTGCCTCTCCAGAACAGTGCATTAACAATCAGTGGGTCACGACAGGTTCTCTTTAAGTTAATAGAATAAAATAAATTCTCATTTTATAGATAGTAAATAGACAGCTTATAACTATAATGGTTGATATCTGGTTTAATTGGGCACTTAAAGCTGTCCAATCTTTTCTACATATATCAAATAGAGACACCTACTTAAGAACAGAAAGACCATTGAACACCAAAGAGAGGTCTGTTAAATCTCCTTGAAGTTCTTGCATTTTGTCCTGCAACACACTAAGTTGGAGAGAAATAACTCACTACAACAAAATTTTACCTTTTTAAATCTTGACCTACTATTCCAACTTCCAAGTTCCGACGTGGAAGGATCTTTGCAACTGTACGGAGAGAAGTATTGCTCTTTTGATTTCTTAATTTTTCCCTTTTCAATGTTTATGCAGATTCCAGTTGCATTACTAATATCTCAGTATCAAAAGGAGTCTGACTGTAGTCCTGGATTATTGCGGTTTTCTGAAGTGGTCAATCTTTTCCACGAGTTTGGTCACATGGTATGTTTGCTTTGTATCCATGAAGCACACTTTACTCATCAGTGTTTTATTTTCATTTTCATGATTTGCATTAAAATTGGACCTTTTACTTGTTTGAGTTTGGTATAGAGTGGAATAAAATGTGTGATTTGAATAATTGAGATCCTTTTCTGAAAATTTACATTTCATTTTCCTGTTTGTCCTAGTTGTCAAAACTGTTACAGGATGGTGGAAGGTGTAGGATTGAAAATATCAAAATTAGGTTTCTTCATAAGAATCAGGGTAAAATAGAAATTAGGGAATTGAAAAGTCATTGGATTTTTTAAGAAATAACGATGTGCATTGTGCTGGAAGAAAGGGTTAGTTTATATTGGTCACATGAGAGTGCTGCAAATAACTGTCCGTTTAAATTTTTATGGCATAACTTACAGTACAATGGTAGTAAGCATTACTTATGCACTTCCCTTAGCAATGGTATCTGTATATGGATCTGGCTAGCAAAAGGGGCTTCAAGTAAATGGTCTACATCTGTGTGTAAAAGAAGTTTCTTGACATGCAAGTTTTTTTGGTAGATATGTTTGCTTATATTTCCCGACACTAATCTTTTCCCCTCCCATTGCCTTGAGCGGCTTAATTTTGTAAACATGGAAGACTGTTTTGCTTGTCTGATTTTTATGATTGGCCATTGCCCCACTTCTGTTGTTAATATGACTCATTCTTTCAATAGCTTGAATTTTAATATAAATTGAGCAGTATCCTTCTACCGAAGGTCTATGATATTGTAATGCATAGTTTATTTAGTTTTGTTTGCACATTGGGACACAGTTTATTATATTCTGAAGCATTTTTTTATAATAAAAAACTACAAGGTTCAACACATTTGCAACCGTGCTTCATTTGCTAGAGTTTCTGGAATACGCGTTGATCCTGACTTCGTAGAAATACCTGCTCAACTCTTACAAAACTGGTAAAAAAATTGAGCCACATTCTTTGATATTTTGAACTTGACTAATCAGTTATGCGTTTTTATTTAACACAATTGTTGGAAATGCAGCTGTTATGAAAGCTTTTTCCTGAAGTTGATATCTGGATTTCACCAGGTGAGTTTTTCAAACTTTTTCCTCCATAATTTTCTGTACCAAACATGTTTAATTTTCATTTTTCTATTTTATATAACCGGTCATTGTTTTTTGAGTATACCATAATCTACTTGATGCTTCATAGGAGCTTTAATTTGTTAATTTGTGGCTTGCAGGATATCACAAAGCCCTTAAAGGATGACCTATGCAAATCAATTAAAAGATGGAGAAATTCTTCTTCTGCACTTAAATTGAAGCAAGAGATTCTATACTGTATGTTGTTTTTGTTTTTCATTATAACAGCTGAACTTAATTACTAGTTTGTTCTTATGCTTTTACATATGCTAATGTTTATGTAGATTTTTATTTTTTGCCGTGGGTTGTTAATTACAGTATCTTCTATTTTAGTGGTAGTTATACTGTCTCGTATAATGGCATTGCGGTCTTGGTGTCCTAAGGAAGTAGTTCTTATCATTTGGTATTTGATTTAGAGACCGTTGTAGGGCAAAAATTAATTTGTACCGTTGTAGGCATGCTTAATATTTTTTTATTCTCAAAGTTAGAATTGATTTCATGAAAAGGGAAAATTTGCAGCTTTTTTCAATAGATAGAATTTCTAGATAAGGAGCTTATAAAATTATATGAAACATACCTATAACATATTTATGCCTTATGGTTAATTTATTATCATTTCAATAAAGCAAATTCTTCTATACTCCCTCTTAAAATATTATTCCCAAACAAATGCGTCTTTTCAGTATTAATTCTTTTGAAGTCAATTCTACCAAAAATGTAAACCAAACAGACCCCCAGTCAGTTGTTGTATGCTATATATGTTAATGTACGCATAATGTGCTTGTGTCTGAGTATAAGTAATTGATAAGGTAATTTTTGATTGAAGGATGAAAAATATTTGTTGTTATCAACATTACATTTACTCTTCATGGACTCTTTAATTCCTTCTGATCTTTTCAATTGATTCTACGAGTCGGCTGGCAATTATATTGCTTTTGGGTAGAAAACGGGATGCGGTGTTGACAGAGAAGATTATACACTGAATAGTTACTTTTTATTTTCATTTAACTTAAGAACTGCTTTATATCAGGTCTTTTTGATCAAATCATACATTCTGCGGATAACATAGATATTCGTGAGTTATTCAAGCATCTTCATTCCAAGGTAAATAAATTTAACATTAGTTTTAATTTGAAGTTCTGTGCTTTTAATAAAGAACGTGAAAAGATGTTCTTTGTTATCTGTATCCCAGGTGATGTTAGGGTTGCCGGTATTAGAAGGAACCAATCCTGCCTCCTGTTTTCCTTTTAGTGTCGTTGGTTATGAGGCCGCATGCTACAGTCGTATATGGAGTGAGGTATTACATTGCAATAGTGGTCTTACTTCATGATAATTAATTTTCATTGGAAGCATATGTAGTTTCTCTTGAGATTATTGTTTATGAGAATCTTCCTTAATCAATGAGTTGAATAATAAAAAAGAGTCATATAATGTTTCAGGTTTTTGCTGCTGATATATTTGCTTCAATGTTTTGCAATGGTGTTTCAAACCAGCTTCCCGGTATGCAATTCAGGAACAAGGTATTAATGATAATGGCATTTCCATTTTTCTCCAGAAATATATTAGACATCGTAGATTATTGTTACAAATGTTGTCTTTATTCGTGTTCTCGAGTTGATGTTTTCTTTTTATGCAGGTATTGGCTCCAGGTGGAGGGAAGGATTCTATTGAATTGATATCAGACTTTTTAGGAAGAAAACCCTCAATTCAAGCTTACTTTGAGAACAAAACCAAATACAGTACTTTGTAAGGTTTTTTTTCTACAACAATTTGTCCATTGACAATATTTCTTGGTGCCTACTTACTAAGTCATTTTAGGAGCACCCGTTATCCAAAAATAATAGTTGTGTAAAAAATAGTACTTTTATTAATAAATTATTATAAAATAGTTATGTTATTGTATTTGGCTGGAAGAATAATAGTAAGAGAGGAGGGAAGAGAGTAGAGTCGGAATCATCATCACTAGATTTTTAAAGAATTCTTAGCTCTTACTCCAAAATTAAATTAATCACTAACAATCAATAATGGATTATTACATAAGAAACTCTTTAAATTAATACTTAGGAAATTAAAAAATTCTCTAAAATAATAAATTTGTCCGGTTCCGATTTGGATCAATGTAAAAAATTGAAAAACTCGATAAAATAATAAGATAATAATTTTTTTGGGAGATCCCTTTATAATTTTCGGTCCTTTAATAGTTGTCTGTTTTCCTTTAAAGTTCAAGTCTATTTGGAGCTCATTTCTAACTTTTTTTATTGCATCCAATAGCTCAGGTGTTGTATTTTTGTATTGTATCATAAAGTTGTGAAGAGCGTTCGACGCTATAAGTGCTTCCTTTCGTATAACAGGCTCCAAAGACACCGTATCATCTTCGCCGTCATCCTCTGCATTATTCTCAATGATAGTATCCCCAATATCTTCTAAATTTTGAACCTTCGAACATGCTTCATTTTCACTTAGGTAATTCATTAGATTGTCGATATCCATCTTATTACGATAGCCACATTGATTGATCATAGTCTCGAGGTCTTGAGTTTCTTCATCCAAATTTTTTACAACGTCGCTAGCTGAACGAATTTTACAGTGTCTGAAGTAATTCGCTATTGTTTCTTTTCGAACATCTATCGTCCAAACTGGGATTGCCAAATTGATAGCATCAAGGACATTTATCTTCCCTGGATCAGATTGTCCCACCTTATAACCTTGCAATATTTTGCAGTAAAACCTTCTACGGTAATGCATCTTGAAAGCTCTTATTATCTCAGCATCGCAAGGTTGAATCTTTGATGTCATGTTGGGTGGCAAGAAGAACAACTCAACGTTTCTTAGCCCTTCAATATTTTTTGAATGTGCTTGACAATTATCCACCACAAGTAGAACTCTTCTACCATGCATCATATGGTCAAATGAACGAACATATTCATCAAAAAACACACTAGTCATTCATGCTTTTTTGTTAGCTCGATAGTGACAATCCAAGCTATTTGTGTTGACATTCTTGAAGCAACGAGGCTTTGCATATTTTCCAATAATCCATAGAGGGATTTTTTTCAGAGCCATCTTCATTGCAACAAATAACTACCGTCACCCTTTCTTTATCTTGTTTTCTTCCTTCAAGTTGTTTTGTTGCCAGTGAATGATCATCTTGTAGCCTATAAAACAACCCAGTTTTATCCATATCGAAAACATCTTTCATAGGGAACTGATCAATTTTCTCCCGAATCGATACCAATTTCTGCTCCATGTCTTGTGCATCAACAAACCGACTCTCGCCAAAACGACAAAATGACTTTATGCCATGTCAGTTCTTGAATTTTCCAAGCCATCCTATAGAGAAGTTAAAATCTGAATCATCATGAGGGTACACGAGTTTCATTGTATCTCTTTGCCTTCTGCAAAATTAATTCTCCTGTGATATTCACACGTTCTTGATGCTGGAGAAACCACTCATAAACAACTTTCTCCATGTCAGGATATTTTGCTGGTTTGTGTCTTTTGATCTCTACTTTTTCCTTTTCTATTTCAGCAGAGAGATAGTCATCTGACCGTTTAAGTGTGTTTGATATTGTTCCTTGACTAACTTTCAACTGAAATTTTTCCTCAAGCCATATCTGCAAGTCTTTTTGTGTGCTTGCAGGATTATCTCTCTTGTACTCACATAATTCCTTACGTATTTGATTTGACATAGTTGATTTTGCAACACCTTTTAGATGAGAAGCCATTTTGTGAGATATAGATTAAATACTCTAACACATTCATGTAATTTATATATGACAAACTTGTTTAAGAATACATTGAACACATTTGTTCCTCTTGTTTACCTTTAGTGTACTTCAAAAGTCATTATTGATTTCTAATGCATATGAACACAATAGTTACTAATTTACGTTGAGTTCCAAAGTTCACTGCAACGTAATTCTAAGATGAATAGACTAATTTGCCTTTTTGTTTGATATGTACAATATAATTACTTAAAAACTCTTTAAATTAATAATTATTAATTTATCGATAAATTAATAACTTTTTAAATTAATAAATTTTTTCAATCATGGCATTATTAATTTAAAGAGTTTATATTGTATTTCAATATTAAAATGTTTAGAAAATAATACTTGTACCAAAAATTATTGAACGCGTTAGACGCGTCTTTGGTTGGTAAGAATTTCCTTTCACGTAATGGATGGATTGCCGAGGAATGAACTCCGAAGCTCGGGAGATTCCTTCGGTTGAGGTTACATAGTGGAAAGGAGCAGAGAAGATGAGAACAAAGATTCTCAAGGTACATTCCTGACAAAAAAAACCATGTAAGTAGTATTTACCAATAAAGAGAACTATTTATGTTTGTTTCATAATTTTTTAAAATATTGTTAGTTTTTGTGTTGAGTTAAAAAAAAAAAAAGATTTCAAAATAAATTTAATTGGTATGTACGATCAATAGAAAATTATTTTACACTATCAATGAATCACTTTCATATATTTTGTCACATCAGACTGTAAGTTTTAAATTATTGATATGACATGATTGATTGATTAATTTTTATTGAATGACAGTGTAAAATTATTTTACAGTATCAGTACATTACCAATTAAACTCTTTTAAAATTATGAATTGATAAATTAAAATAACTTGTATATAGCTTGTTAATATTGTTCGATAAAACATACAATTTTTTAAAATTAAAAATAAGTAAAAAATTTACATTTATTTTAAAATATTAAATATAAATTAATAATATAATAGCTGGTTAGTATTATATATTATTATTTTAAAATAATTACGATGAAAAAAAATCAATCCAATGAAAAATTAATTTAAATAATTATTCTTGAAATATTATTTTAGACTTTTTATTCTTTTGTTATAACTTTTTTTGAATATTAAAATTTTAAAAAATTATTTAAACTTAAAATTATTTCAAATAATTTTTTATAAAAGTTATTTTTGAAATATCTTTTTAAAAAAATTATAATTTTAACTATGTTTTTATCTTAAACAATATATTTATGACCAGTTTTTTAATTTATAAGAAATAGTTTTTTTTTAATGTTTTAAAAAATCTTTTATAAAATTATTTAAATAAAAAAAATTCATTTTTTTAAAAAACAAAACAAACATATCTTAGATGTTTTGATGATAGATAATTATCCATTAAAATTTAAGATATTAGAGCTGTCCTATTTTGGTTATAGGATATCATTGCAATTATTAATCGCGGAAACAACAGCTAAATGTTCTTTTTTGTGTTTTTTATTGGTTAGGATTAGTTTACTTTTAGTTGACTTTGTTAATTCTATTAGGTTTTCTGGCCTTATAAATACATAGGCCATTTATCTTTTAATTTTTACTTTTAATGATGAATTAAAATTTTATTTTTCTTTTCAATGGTTTTTTTTTATGTACTGCCAAGTGTCAACATGGTATAAGAAATAAAGAGATTGTCCTTATTTTTCTTCTCTTTTCACATTATGTGTTACTCAAGATTTCTTCACGTTTCTTATCATCTAAACCCTGACTTGATCAAATTTTCAACCATGTCTCTTGATCCCATTTTCTTCACATTCATTCTCATCTCCTCTTAGGTTTTCCATAGCAAAACTCATCTCTCTCTCTCTCTCTCTCTCTCTCTCTCTCTCTCTCTCTCTCTCTCTCTCTCTCTCTCTCTCTCTCTCTCTCTCTCTCTCTCTCTCTCTCTCTCTCTCTCTCTCTCTCTCTCTCTCTCTCTCTCTCTCTCTCTCTCTCTCTCTCTCTCTCTCTCTCTCTCTCTCTCTCTCTCTCTCCCCTTCACAAAAAAAACCTTTCTTCAAATTCAACACATTCATCAGGGTTTTCCAGAAATTCCTCATCTTTATGGAATTTCTTGACATTTTTTGTGTTTTCTAAATTATATCTTTCCACGATTTCTTTTTTTTCCTCTCTCGATCTAGTCATTTTTTTTTCTTTTTCTCTTGCAATCGACGTGTTTCGTCTTGCCGAAATCTATCATATTCTCATTGTTTCAGTGTTATTTGTTACATTCTTCATCTTGATTTTGTTTCATTTTCCCATAAATTCTTGTTCTTCTTTACGTTTTTTGCGTTGGAATTATTTGTTCTTCTATTCCATTTTTCTCAAGAACCCTAATTTTCTTTTCTGTTCATGAAGATTGAAGACGAAACACCGTCACCAACTTCAAATAAAAACACTCAACCTATAAACACTTATCAACCCACATATACTTCCAGAAACAACCATTAATCTTCAACTCGCACCTGCTAAACTGATATGCTCGACCCCTTTTACATGCATCCTAGTGACAATACTGACTTATTCATCGTCTCTCCTTCCCTTAACAACACGAATTTTCATGGTAGGCCCCTACCATAAAACTTCCCATTAAATCCAAAATAAAATAGGGTTCATTGATGGAACCCTAATTTGTCTCAATCCTTTTGATTCTAAACACGTAGCTTGGAACCAACACAATAATATGGTAATGGCGTGGTAACCAAATCTATTGAAAAAATATTTCATAAAGTGTTTTGTGGATAGATTCAGCCAAAGACATCTAGGACGAGCTTCGCGAAAGGTACCACCAAGGCGACATCTTTGGAATTTCAGACCTTCAAGAAGAAATTTATGCTCAGCCTCAAAAATCTGCAGAAAATGTTGAAGGTGGCCATGCTCATTCAATTATGATTGCTGATTAACAACGTGCATTATTGACTTTCCTTCATCAAAGTTCTACTCCAGTTGCAACTGCAATCCAA